TATTTAGTCTTTTCTTTTTTATTTGTCTGCTTCTTCCTCTGCCCACATTTAAATTTGAGGAGATTGCCAAAAACTGAGATTTATACACACAAGCAGGAATGCAAAAATTGAGCAACAACCTGTCATAATAGCTTCTGGGACTTGTAGACATCACTATTAAACATCCATGTATACACTTCTACTAAAAATCTTATTTTATGGTGTCCTATAAACTAGTTCTAATACATACCTACATAATTCATTCATTCATCTATAACTGATAAACATTCTCTACTTGCTCAGTTGGCATATTAACTGACAACAAAAGCAGTTCTGATTTGGTGCGATGGCCAATTTAAAAAAACAACCAAAAGATGTGTATATAAATCAACACATACAAAAACTGTAAATCAAGGTTTGATGAATAAATTAATAAACATTGAATGCAAACAAGAGAAATAGCCAGAATCATAAAATCTAAGAAAATTGCAAAAGTCTGTCTGCATTTAGAAATGCAATACAATGACACCATTTGTAACAGACACATCTTAATCCTTATTAATCTTTCAGTGAGAACAGCTCAGCTTTTTTATTTCTATGGTTGTTACTAAAATCTTATGAGCATTTCATGTCAATGGGAGCATTAGAGATTAGTTTACTGGGAAAAATACTGCATAGATTTTTTTCTTTTCTGCTGGTTTATGCCCAACATCATATTTGTTTGGACAATCAAATGTAACTAAATACAAATTACAGTTATCGTATGTCAAACTGATTATTTCTACCTCTTTACTTTCAAAGTGGAGGATATAGACTATTGTTGCTATGACAACTTCTAATGGTTGTTATAGTGTGTCTTAAAGTATTATAAATAGATGTTATGTAACTCTGTAAAAGCCTTTGTTTCATTTTTTGAGTATATATTTATACCTATATTTTAGTTAAAGTAAGTGTTACAGTAAAGGCTGTGTTTTTTATCAGTAATATGGAGGATGATTGTAGTGATTTTAGTATGACATATCTACAGACATAACCTAAGTCGCTGCATAACATGGACCTACCCAGACATATATTTTTTCTTGGTCCATAAGGTTGACTTGCAGGAACACTCTGCAACTTTACATTTGGAAGGACTGTGTTATATGCTAGTATGAATGCCCAGCTGTTTTAAACCCTGAATGTGCCATATCCCCAGGTAGATATTTTCTTACTAACTTAAGAACCTAAGTTGGAATACCTATTTTTTTTTTTTTTTTTTTTCATTTTTGAACGTTACCTCAAAAGAAAACGTGACAGAAAAGTAAAAACCATTTAACATCTGTGGTCTTTTCAAAACCAACCAGTTAATTCTTTGATTGTTTTGATAACCTCAGCCTGGACTTTTGAAGCTTGGGTGTTAGTACATCAAAACTGAGCTGTGAGATGAAATGAACGATGCCTGGAGCTATCCGTAGCCTGAGTTTATTTCAACTGACAAGTGTAGCTACATGTGAAAACTTGCTGTTGTAAAAAATAAAAGAAATCACCATTTGCAAAAAACAATGTTTTTCTCAGCTCTTATGAAGATGATTGCTGAAAACCCTTTCACCTTCAGCTCTCCCATTGCAGTGCATATTGATCAGCTCCAATTATAAATATATACAGTGGCAGCTCATTTTTTTTTCTGTGAACTCCAGAGGGAATTAAAAATGTGGTTAAGTATGGTACTATATCCAGAAAAAAATCTAAATGATTGTACTTATGTGATGTCTTCACACATGTAGTGATTTCCTGTTGACTGAGATGTTCCAAAAGAAGGAAATGATTGTAAAGACCTGAGGATCAATGAAATGCATTTTGTAGTTAATGCTTGTTTGCAGCAACCAAAGGTTACAGAAAGATTCAGAAACTTTCGGTCATAGCCAAAATGTCATTTTTGGACCTTCATATTTTTCTACAAATATGCAGATAAACATAAAAAGAATATACATATCAAAGACATTGTTTCGAGCCCTGTGTTGGACAGGTTTGTTTGACCTTACATCTGTGGGCAAAGATGGACATTGTAACTAGGAAACACAACTGTGAAAATCTACTTCTGATGTCTCTTATTTTCTACTCTTTTTTTTTTTTTTGTCTGATAATAAATTATAAAAATACCTAGATCGTTATGTAACTTGAGCCATTTCCTACTTGTCACCTACACAGGTTTTACTGAAAAGATAATATAGTGTACATACTGTATAAAGCTGCATGTGTGTAGATATGTTTGTAAAAATTCCAAACAAAGGTAAAGTATCATGAATATCAGCCACATTGTGCAATCAAGGAGGAAATGTCCTTTGCAGTATCTTGAAATGGGGTTGAAGGATTTTTTTTTTTTTATGTAGTTTCAATTTAGCGGGGTCATATTCAATGTGATTCCATAAACTTTGGTCATTAAGAGATTGCGGTGCTCGTAAGCTGCTGGATTTTTGGGTTCCTCCTCAGCAGCTGGAGCCAATTTTACTTAAGCTTGTATAAAATTTCCATGAGACTGCTAAGATGATGCCTCCATAAATGGAGGCAAAGAGGATATTTGTATAAGGCTGTCTATTGTACAAGTCTAGATTGCTCTCACTTGTCAGTTTCAAAGGTTTTGACCCATTTGTGCCCATTGTTCCACCTCAAATATGTACAAGTTTTAGCGTAAATGTACTATGGTATGTTGAGATTAAAATACTTTTAAATGGCAAAAGTCTAAATCTACTGCCAGCAATAAAAAAAAATATTGATTGTATTTTATTTGGATGTAGTTAGACAATCACAAAACAGTTCAAAATTATGAATTGAAAGGAAAAAAGTTAAGTAGTGATGTGTGGCAGTCCTTTCAGCCTAGCCCCACTAAGTTTGTTGCAGAATTATATTAATTATGCACTGGAAAAAATTGAAATCTAGATAAGTCATTTTTTCTTAAAATAAGTGCATTTGTGCTTGGATTGAGGAGGTAAATGACACATTTTGCCAATGGAACAAGACAATTTACACTTAAAATAAGAATACAACAGCATTGTCTTATTTCAAGTGCATATTATCTAATTATCTTATTTTAAGAGTAAAAATACTCATTCCATTGGCTAACTATCTCATTTACCTACTCAAATTAAGAATAAATACATTTAATTTAAGAAATGTCTACTTATTTCTGGATCATTTTTGTAGTGTGGAGCAGCACTCTGATATAGCAGTTGAGTACTTCTACTGAAATTGATGGTCCTTACTATTCCAAACTTAGAACCTGATTCATGTCTTTCCCATTCTCTCTCTTCCCATTACATGCCTGAATTTCTGAAAAATCTCTTGGGAAAAAAAAACAACAAAACATGCTCTTCAGAGATCTCTTCAGATCTGGAGACTGATAGTCTCAACAATCTTTTCTTTACAAACTAGCTCAACTGCATTAGTTTACTAGTTTCCGACAAATTCCAAACTGGTCCGAAATCTGAATGGAGCTTTTGTTTACCGACATACTGAGTAGATATGCTTGGATGTAAACAAAACCATTCTAGCTCTGGTTGGCTTTTGTATCATCTTGCATCTTCCTTTTTAAGGCCTACCCTGTATTTAGCTCCGTCCACCAACTTCAACTAGTCTCATGCCTCTGCCAAAACAACATCTCCACTACATGATGCTACCACCACCATGTCTCATTGTTCAAATTGTGTATTCAGGCTTATGTTTTGTGTTAGTTTTTCTCGACACTGGACATTTTGCTAAAATGTTTTAGGCAAAAATATTTTGGGTGTCATATAAGCAATTTAAATTCTAGAATATTTTTGCTTTGTCTCCCACATGTGCTTTTGGCAATATGTAAGCAAGATACATTTTTTTTTTTTAAATGCCTTTCTTTATATAAATACCATGCTTGTGCAATGCATCACCAATGCTTCCTACTTCAACAACGATAACCTTGGGCATCTTGGCAGTTTGTCAGAAAACCTCCTAAAGGAGCCATTTCTTGATTGGTTTGACCTATATATCCATGACCTGTCTGGACTGTTCATTGATCTTCTTTAAGCTTATCTGTTATTTAATAAAACCTGTAGACCTTCACATATAAGCCGTATTTATCCTGAGATTAAGTATATTTATTTTTTAAATAAGAGCTTTTTATTGCTATGGATATTTGTAGAGTATCGTATTTTAGGAGACAGAATACTAATTCATGTCGCAAATCTCAGAGGACTTGTTAAAAATATAAAAAAATATTTTGTGGTTGGTTCAGAGTTAGGGACTGCTTTGTGTGGATCTAGAATACTCAATCCCTCAAAAAATATCAAAGGTTTGTAACAAGACAAAATTTGAAGTTTAGGAGGTATAATAG